AAAAATGACATGGATGAATGAAGTATTTTTTTCAAGTGTAGAAGGTAGAATGTAAAAATATTTATAGGTAATAAATTATTATATAATATGCTTTAATACGCATTTTATAATAATTTTTTAATTTTAATTTTGAATATTAAGTGAAATATTTTGTAACATTAAAGGTAGGTATTTTATTCACAAGTATTATTACTAATAGGAAAAAGTTATACATACAATCTAGGCAAAGATTAAAAATACCTAGCTAAAAACTTTTTTTAATAAAATATTTTTTGAAAAAAAAAACAGGAAAAAATAAAAAAATGTTAATTCATAGTATCATATATATTTTAAATTCACAATCACAATGACATACATCGTTTATCTATCCGTACTTATTTATTATATTTTCAACAAACTGATTTCCTTTTGATAATAATTTGTTGTGTATACACCTTGGATTCTATCTTGTGTGTTCAATCCATGGAATATCATCTTTTTCCCAATTATGTAAGATGAGTCCACAGCAAAAACATTTAACAATATCTTTTAAAATTTAAAACCGCTTTCAGCTAATGAGTATTTATCTTGAGATGAAGTTAACGGGAATAAATTGAATGTTTTCAATCTTGAAGAAATTTTGTATATTCTGGGTATTTAGGATATGTATTATTTTGTACTAAAGAAACTAGTGAACAAAAATTGTTGCTAAAATTTGGAAAATTCATTTTTGTAAAATAAAGAATTTTTAAATAAATAATAGTTCTTGATCGAATGATGGTTTAACACTAACTAAACTGAACTAGATTAGATTATTAATTTTAAAGTTTGAAAAAAATTTAAATTTAAAATTGCAGTGTTACCAATATAAATAAACTGTTTTTGTGTTACACAGAAAAAAAATGGGTATATAACTTTCTTCTCTATCATCTTCATTTTCGTGGTCTTCATCATCGCTGTCTTCACTATCATCTTCATGGTCATTGTCATCATCACTATCATCATCATCATCAATCATTATCATCATCATCACTGATTCATGGACGAATCCCCGTAATACATTTCCCCGTTAGACATTTCCCCGTTACGCTTTCCCCGTCCAATATTTCCCCGTCCAGCGATTTTCCCCGTTGGACATTTCTTCGTCAAAAGAAGGATATACAGGGTGATTTTTTTATCAAACAACACTTATTATTTCCAAAAGTATTCATTTTTTTGAAAATATTTTTTTACATAGTTTCAAATTGTTAAAAAAACAACATTTTTATAAAAAAATTATTATTGTTTTCAACTGAAGAAAATTTAAAAATATTATCTGACCAGTGTCATTGGTTTATTGATGGTACATTTAAGTCATCCCCACAACTCTTTACTCAGCTTCTTACAATCCACGCAATAAAATACGACACAGTATTACCGTTAGTGTTTGCACTTGTGCCAAATAAAACACGTGATAGTTATACTAAAATTATAAAAGAACTTCTAAATTTGGAAAACAATTTACGGCCAGCAAGTGTTATGGTTGATTTTGAACAAGCGCTTTTAGGTGCGATTGCAGACGTTTTCAAGGACATCCGAATAAGAGGCTGCTTTTTTCATTTTGGACAATGCATATGGAGAAAAATACAGTGTGTAAGAATTTGGTAGTTTGCTAGGCTACCAAAAGCTACCCACGACCAAAGGGGAACACTTCGGTCGTGACCTATGAGCCGCACCGCGTGTTAGCCCGAAGGCTAAGTCGGTGGAACTCATAGGCTTTGTACACGCAGTGGTGAATGAACACCAAAGATTTATTTAAAAAAAGGGAAAAGAAGACATAATATA